GACTGTGATCCATCTTGCCACAAGTAATTCTAAGTTCAGGATTTATTATATCTAGATTTGCTGTACATTTATTTCGATCCCAATATTTGATTGGGTCTTCTCCTAAGACTTGAGTTTCATCAGCTATTCTGATTAACTCATCTAAGTTCATTTTTTTGTAATTTTTATTTTTTCTTTTGTTTTCTTCTTTCTGAAAGTTTGAAAGAGTTTTTTCTATATTTACATGCACCACTTCTTCCTCATTAATTAAGTTATCAAAAAACTGATAATCTATAGAATCTTCAAATATTTCCAAAGTCTCTTCTGAGAGATCTGGTGTATAATCAGATTCTAATAAATCATCAAAAAACTTTTCATCACTACTTAAATAATTACTATTATACTCAAAATGCTTATTTAATTTATTTTGGATTTTTTGGGGTGCTTTTTCTTCTGGGTTTGGAAGATTCATGACATATCTATTCGTTGGGGTGTAACTGGTTCATTTTGCGAACTGTACTCCATCGGAAGAAATTATCATTTGGCCCTGGAAGTGAGTGATAAAGTTTAAGCCAATTATGAAGGGATAATTATTTTGGATATTATGTACAATTACTTGAGGTAAGGTGTACTTTTCTCCAAAATTTCCTGATCCCCAGTCCCAGAAAGAAAATTTTGCATCCTTTAAACATTTATCATATTTGAGTTGAGTTCCATCCATTTGAGTTCCATAAACAGCTTTCATTGTTGAGACTTCAGAACTCGGGATTTCTGTTTCAAGGATGTGAGATTTAGATGCTCCTGTATCAATCATTCCTAAGAATTCTTTTGCTTCTCCATTTTTGAAGGTGATTGAACACAGTATGCTGAGTAGGGTATTTGGATCTTTAGGGTTTGTTGGAACATTAGCCGATAAAGTAGAGATTTGTTCTTCTTTATCTGCTGTTGGTTCATTAGCATCTTTTCCTTTGAGTGGAAGTTTTGCTAATTGGTTCTCCAATTCTTTTGTTCTTTGGTGGAGAAATTCTATCTGTTCTTCTAATTGCAAGATGTACTCATCCTTTTCATTGAGTGTTTTGGTCATTGATTTCATTTCTTGCAATAGAGACAATTTTTCTACATCTCTGATTAATTGTTCTTCATTTGATGCAGGGATGTTTATTTGATTTACAGGTTTTGAAGGCTGTACCTGTTCAACCTCTTCTTTTAACTTTTTGTGACAGAATATACAATATACTTTTGAGCATATTGTACATTTCAATTTTGTAGAAGACTGGGTATACCTATGACAATCTAAACATTTTTCCCATTGTGGGGGTTGATTTAATTGCCATAAGTGTTTACTGTCAGAGTCAATCTTGATCATCATGATTTTTACAGTGTTTAATTTTTTATTAATAGAATCTATAAACTGCTGAAGATTTTGATCTTCAGAGTATATGTCTTCTTCAGATTCTGAATAGGATTCAGACAAGTCTTCTATAAACAAATCTTCTGAAATGATGCTGTAAACATCACTTTCAGACTTGTATCCGCTTATAGAGATGATGTCTTCTTCTTCTGCAAGATTTGCCCATATGTTAGATCTTTCAGTTGGTTTGTTTTTGTTTGGGCATTTGTTTGCATAATGTCCTGGATCTCCACATATGTAGCATTTTCTGTCTTTCTTTGGATTTTTGGGTTTTTTCACATATTTCTCCTTTTTACCTGTCTTTCCTTTTTTGAAGGTTTTACTAGGCTTAAGAGAATATGTTTTCTTTTTTATGAATTTTTTGGGTTTAGTTTTGTCGGAAATACATTCTTTTTTGGATTTTTTGTATTTTTTCCTCCTATTATATGATTCTTTTGAAGAACCATGTCCCCCTAATTACGGATTTACAAAAACCAATTTTTTGATTTTTAAGAGATTTTTGGTCTTGAATATCTACACACTTTTCTCTTAATATTTTATATATAAACAAAATCCTAGGGCCTGCTCCCTGTTGAGGTGCAGGGTTAGAAGCTAGCCATTTTTCTTTGATTTGTTTACCAAGGGTGCTTGGTAGCTTATCAAAGATTCTGTTATTTAAGTTGTCATCAAATCCTTGTCTTGTTCTAGGAACAAGTTTAAGAAAATCATTGCAAAAGGACTCGGTTTGATACCAAGATGTTAACTGAAGGACCTCAAGTTCCTCAATAGCTTTATTTTATAAAGCTCTTTCGGAATCAACAGTTACATCAAATCCTAAGAACATCTTTTTGATTAAAGATGTAAAATTGTATGGATTTTCCCCCAAGTCTTGTGTTTCAGCAACTAAGGTTGGGTTCTCTCTCTTAAAGGTATTCCAGTACAATTCTACAGTGGGGCCTAGAAGTGTTTCTAGGAATTCGAACATCTCACCATCCATAGATCGATTGATCCATGCCCGGCAAGCGTCTCTTTCCCATTGATCTATTATTTCT